CTTCCTCCCCCCCCCCTTGTTTCCTCCCTCCCTCCTTTCTTTCCTACTTTTCTCCTTCCTCCCTTAATTTAATATTTGTGTATCCGGCAAGTACTGACAAATCAGAATGATTTAGCAACGTGATTACAAAGTTGATCGAAAGAAGATCTATCCCCTGGAGAACATTACCCTCCAGTGGGAGACAGTCATAACAACAAAGGAGTGTGTGGCCCTGATAAAGGGACGATGGCCGTCCTCTATAAATGCTGGAGTTGGAGCAGAAAGAAGCCTGCCTTCACCAGCTCCATTCCCTGTCCTTGTCCTTCATTAGTTACAAGGCCTTAGGACACTGAGGTGGTGTTGTGTGTGTTTTTTGTAGACAAAATAAATTCTTGAAATTGGAGCTGTTACTTGTAACAAAGTTGTTGGTTGAAATCGTGATGCCAAGATGATAGGCCTTTCTAGTGAATGTGCAGATGAAGTTGTTCAGAACATAACTCAGCATTTCCTCTCAGATCTGGAGTCCAGGGACAGGGGCCTGAGCAGCAAGACCCTGTGCATGGAGAGTGAGCAGATCCTGCCCGACGGCTCCCGGGTGCGCCACTACGACGTGCACAGCCTGTACGGGTGGTCCCAGACCAGACCCACCTACGAGTGAGTGTGCTTAGTCCTGGCAGCAAGGCTCATTTCCACACTGCTGCTTTTGTCCTGTTATCTATAGACTATGCTTGTATCTACATGGTGCAAGTCAAATAGATGAATGTCAAAATATCAGGAGTGGTTTTCCAGGCAACGGCACCACCCCAGAATTGTATTAACCAAGTAGGTTGCTAAATTCACCTATTTAAAGTAAGTAGGTATTCATGTGATTTCACTTATATGTGGAATCTAGTGAACGAAATAAACTAGCAAACAGAATAGCCAACAGACTCCTAGATACAGAGAACAGACTGACGGCTGTCAGAGGGGAGGGTGGTTGGGGGCTGGGTGAAAAGATTAAGCAAAACTCCCCCAAAACTCATAGACACAAACAACAGATGGTGATTACCACAGGGAAAGAGGGGTGGGGGGAGGTAGAAGAGAGTAAAGGGGGGATAAATGGTGATGGAAGGAGACTTGACTTTGGATGGTGAACACACAATTCACTATACAGATGATATATTTTAGAATTGTACACCTGAAACCTATGTAATTTTATTAACCAATGTCACCCCAATAAATTCCATTAAAAATTAAGTGAGCAGGTGCTAATTATTGCTACAATGCCAATCTTACTACGATATATAAATGTATCAAATTAACAGGTTGTGCACCTTAAATTTACACAATGGTATATGTCAAATATACTTCATTAAAAAAATAAGGTGAGCAGTTAAGCTGTGTTTAGTATATCCATAGAGTTGTACAGCAATAACTACAATAAAATCTTAGAACATTTTTGTCATCTGAAAAGGAAACTCTATACCAATTAGCAGTCATTCCCCACCTTTGTCCCCTCCTCCTGAGCCCCAGCAACCACTGGTCTACTTTCCGCCCACATGGATTGCTTAATCTGGATACTTCATATAAATGGAGTCATACAATATGTGGCCTTTCACATTCTTTTTCAAGACTGTTTTGGTTCTCCTGGGTCCCTTGCACTCAATATGAATTTTAGGATTAGTGGGTCAATTTCTGCAGAACAGAAACAGGAATGTTGGTGGGGACTGCATTGAATCTGTAGAGCTGTTTGATGACTATCATCGCGGTCTTAATAATCGTAAGTCTTCTGATCCATTAACATGGGGTGTCATTCCATTTCTTTAGATCTCATTTAATTTTCTTTCAGCAATGTTTATAGCTTTCAGTGTACAAGTTTCTGACCATTATTTTAAAAATAATTTTCTACCCTCTTCTCTCTCTCTTTCTAAGTCTCCAATTATATATATGTTGGTACAGTTGGTGGTCTCTGTAATTCTGTTCCCTTTCCTTCATTCTTTCTTCTTTTTGCTATTCAGACTGGATCATATCTGTTGACCGATCTTCTGATTCTTTCTTCTTCTAGCTCGCATCTGATGTTGAGCTCAGTCCCTGGAGTAAACTTTTTAAAAAAATATTTCTTTATTGATTTCAGAGAGAGGAAGGGAGAGCGAGAGATAGAAACATCAGTGATGAGAGTCATTGATCGGCTGCCTCCTGCACACCTGTCACCGGGGATCAAGCCTGCAACCCGGGCATGTGCCCTGACCGGGAATCGAACCCTGATCTCCTGGCTCATAAGTTGAGGCTCAGCCACTAAGCCATGTCCGGCCGGGGATTAACATCACTTTTAAATAGCAGATGCTTTCAGGGAAGAAGCTCTCTGGCTAAAATTGCCGCCTTCTGCTCCAGTCTGAAGCTATGCTCCTAAATGAAGTTCCATGGATGTCCATCCTCAAATTCACCTTCATTTCATCTCCCTGTTCCCCTCCCACCAGAGCCGTGCAGGAGGTGACAGGAGAGCGAGGGAT